GTATCTGGAGGTCGTAGTAAGGGCATCGAGAGGATCGACGCGCGCTTGGATGCGGAGCTCCCCCCCCGCAGGCCTGTCGACCTTGAGTTTTTCGGTCAGTCGGCTGCGCTGAAAGCTCTGTCGTTCAGGCGCCCCCCGCCCTTGCCTGCCGAGGCGGTGGTTGGCCCCTCGCCGATGCCTCCAGAGTGGTCCGGGGTCCAGTATCTGGCTGGCTCGGCCCTGGGTTTGCTCGACATGGGTCGCCCCAATGAAGCCGCTTCCCTGCAAGGCTCCCTGTGCCAAAGGTGGGCTGACACTGCCGAGGGGGAACTGATTCCGTTGGTTGGGTCATCGCCTGTCAAGCTCGGCACTCGTGGGTTGGGCCCTCAGTTGGCCTGGCGCTCGGTTTTAGCGAAGGACTCCCAGGTCAGATACCCTGCTCACAGATCCATAGCTTGGCTAGGGCAGCAGCTCAGGGCGCACATCCATTCCTTACGAGCAGGTGCGTCTACCACTGCCTCCTGCTTGGAGGACCTGTTGTTCCAGCCTCCGCCTGCGATCGCCAACGCCAGGGCTGACCATATGCCCCTGTTCGAACTGGTGGCGACGCCGGTCACGACCTTGGCTGCTCCCGACGCGTTTGCTGAAGTTTATGCTCAGGCCGCCAAGGCCGCCGACAGCAAGTTCCTCGCACAGGGCCGCGCCGATTGGAAGGCATGGCTCAATGTCGGAGCGCAGTCTCGTGCGAAGCGGATTTGCATGTTGCTTCGAGACCCGACCAGCCCCCTTGGGTGGCCAGCAGCATTCTTTCGGCCGAGGGCAGCGCGGTTTCGGATCTGCTTTCGCTTCTGGGGCGGAGGGCCTGCGTTTCTCGAAGCATTGGGGCCCTGGGTCGGTGGCCCAGTCTCGGTTTGAGCGCCCCGAACACCTCCCCAGGAACGATGCTGATACTATTCGTGATATGTCTCGGTCTTACAGGAGTACGTCGGCCGTCTCAGTTGACGGGTTTCACTGCCGAAATTTCTCGTTGCTGTCCGACGCGAGCCTCACCTGTCTTCGTAGCATCCCTTGTCTTATCGAGTCGCTTGGCATTTTCCCTCTCCAGATGTCGGTTGTGCTGCTCGCGCTGCTGCCGACGCCGGCTGGTGGCTACAGGCCCATAGGGGTGCTGTGTTTTTGGTTCGGGGTCTGGGGGGCGCTGCAGGCGCCCCCTCGCCCTGGACTGGGGGCTCACGCGCCCCCGTCGGCACTGGGCTGCTGGCCAGCATCGGGGGGCGGCCGACGTCGTTTTGGCGACAGGCGGTGACGGCCGAAAGCGGAGTCGCCAGAGGTCAGGCCAGTTGCAGCATCATCTTTGATCTCTTTCAATTCTATGAGAATATTTCGTTGGATAAGTTGGAGTGTCGCTGCAGGAGGCACGGGTTTCCGATGATAATCGCCAGATTGTGCTTGTATGCGAATAAAGTCGGTCGTTTCCTCAGTCTCGGCGACTGGATCGGGCCCCTACTTCTGCGCGAACGGGGTCGTCGCTGGTTGTTCGATGGCCACCACTTTTATCCGCGTCCACTGCCTTGGCGGTTACGACAGCATCCCTCTTGCTCCCTCCACCTCCCTGGATGTCTACATCGACGACCAAGGCTTGTCCTCCACGGGTCGCCCTGGGGCCGTCGTGGAAGCTGTGGTGGCTGGTGCCGTAGCGTTGGATGGCGTCGTGAGGGATGGCTTCAGCTCTTCGATTGCCTTAGAGAAAACGGCGATTGCTGCTAGCTCGAAATTCGTCGGCACCAAGGTCCTCGACATGCTCAGCCACCTCTGCCGCCGCTGCTCTGGTTCCACGGTCTACCTCGGCGTTGACTACACGGCTGGTCGAGCCAGCAGGGTTGGCGGCAAGGCGGCCAATATGAAGGCTCGGATAGCCAAGTCAGCTCGGGCAGCTTGGCGCGCAGCGCGGCAGGGCAAGGTGCTGAGTCGGGCTTCCTCCCTCAAGGTCTTCCCGGCGGGGCTCTTAGTGGGGGGGCCTCCTATGGGTCCGAAGTCACGGGCATAAGCGATCACGACTGCGCCGCCGTGTTTTTCCTGTCGTTCGCCCTCGCAGCCAGCTGAGGTCTTTCACAGTCGGCGCCATCCTGGATTACGATCCGACGTGGCAGCGGCCACTGCCCCGATTCTTTGGTGGAGCAAGGAGGCGTGGCTTTGTCAGACCTCAGTTTTCAGCTGGTCTTTCTTTTTGCCAGTGCCCAGGCGCGCGTGGCACGTCATTTTTTCTTGTGCGTCCTGCAACAGGAGGCGAGTTGCGGGCGCTGTCTCTGCCATGCGAATGTCCCTGGTGCGCCTCGGGTTGCGCGTGGATAACTGCATGACCCTGGTCGACGATTTCGGGAGATCCATTCATGTGGGGGATATTATCGCCCTCGCTCGTCGGGCCCCTGGTCCGAGAAGGGCATTTCCGCGTGCTGGAGAGAGACGCGGCGACTGCTCGTGGTATCCAGTCACGTCTCTGCTATGACGTGGCGCGGGAAAGCCTTTCTCTGCGCAGCAAGAAGTCCACGCCCCCCCCCCCAAAAAAAAAAAAAATGGCCAGGATTCATGCCTTCTCCACGGAAGCTTTCCTCGCGGCTGCCAGGGCCGAGTCTCTTGGTTATCACATCGGGCCTGTCTGTATCCACTGTGGAGCCCGCGGCGCCATCTTCCACCGTTTGCGGGAATGCCCCACCCCCCCCCCCCCCGCGGCTGAGGATAGGGGCGGGCTGGTCGAGCCCGATCTCATCGAAGCTGCGCTTGCAGCTAAGGCCTCGGGCGAGCACGAGGACAGCTTTGCATTCATCTCTGGCGCCTTTCGGCACCCCGCCGACCTCTACCTTCGGACGTTGACTGAGCAGGATGATGGTCCGATGCTGACGTGGCACCAGTGCCCTAGGGAAGGCCCTGATGCGGCCCATGTCGGCAATCGCGTCTGGGGTGACCTCTTGGTCGATGGTTCTTGTTTTCGCCGCACAGTGCGCGAACTTTCTCGAGCGGGCAGCGCTGTTTGCACGGTGGACGACGATGGTGACTTAGTTGCCGAGCTTCGCGCACCAGTGTGGGGCCCATACCCTCAGACGGCTCAGAGTGCTGAACCCAGCGCCTTTACCCGGGCCGATATGATTGCCATGCTTCCCGCAGACTGCCACGTTCATTCGGAATGTAGCAATGTTGTACAGTCGGCCGCCAGAGGCAAGTCGGTTCAGTTGTCTCCCAAGAGGATGTACTCGGGAGCGTGTCTCCAGTGTTATGGTCAGGTTGGCGAAGCCGCTTCTTGCTCGAAGGTGTCCGCCCATCTTGACATCGACGCTCCTGGCATCACGCCCCGTGAGCGCTGGTGCAGGCTTGGCAATCACCATGCCGATGTAGCAGCCAAGCACGCAGTCTCTTTGCACGCGCGCGACGAAGGTTTACTTCAGGATGCTGACAGGATGGTGTCGCTCGCTAGGGCTATGTTGAAGCTGGCTGCTCACGTTCTTGTCCACTGGCCCCGTTTGGACTTGTCTGGGGTCGGCAGGACCCCCGATCCCCCGTCCCAAAGGAAGCCCACGTCTGGCCATGTTTGTAAATCCTGTGGCGGAATTTGGAGGTGCGCTTACTGCTTGCGTGGTTGCAGGTCTTTCTCGAAGCCACCCCCAGGACCCTGCTCCAGGAAGTCTTTGGTCCACGCGGACCACCGAGATGCCCTCGGGCACCGTGCCGTCCGTCGCCTTTCCGTGCTCTGGCCACTCGCTGTTTTTTATTTGTCCCAGGTGCAAATGCCACACCAGCGGGGTCAAATCCGTGGCCAGGCCCAGGAGTGTGTTGCCCCAGCCCGTGCTGGTAAGAATGGTTGGGGCTACGTTTGTAAAGGGCTGTACCCCAAGCACGAGCAGAGGAAAGCTGGAGTCAGAGTGGACACTGAAGGGCGTGAGCGTGGAGGTCAAAAAGATCCTCCTCCTCCTCCTCCTCCTCCTCCTCCTCCTCCTCCTTATCCTCCTCCTCCTCCTCCGCCTCCTGCTCCTCCTCCTCCTCCTCCTCCTCCTCCTCCTCCTCCTGCCCCTCCTTCCCTCCTCCCCCTCCTCCTCCTCCGCCTCCTCCTCCTCCTCCCCCTCCTCCCCGCCTCCTCCCCCCCTCCTCCCCTCCTCCTCCCCCTCCTCGTCGTTCCCTCCTCCTCCTCCTCCTCCTCCTCCTCCTCCTCCTCTTCCTCCTCCTCCTCTTCCTCCTCCTCCTCCTCCTCCTCCTCCTCCTCCTCCCTCCTCCTCCTCTCCTCCTCCTCCTCCTCCTCCTCCTCCTCCTCCTCCTCCTCGTCCCCTCCTCCTCCTCCTCCTCCTCCTCCTCCTCCTCCTCCTCCTCCTCCTCCTCCTCCTCCTCCTCCTCCTCCTCCTCCTCCTCCTCCTCCTCCTCCTCCTCCCTCCTCCTCCTCCTCATCCTCCTCCTCCTCCTCCTCCTCCTCCTCCTCCTCCTCCTCCCTCCTCCTCCTCCTCCTCCTCCTCCTCCTCCTCTCCTCCTCCTCCTCCTCCTCCTCCTCCCTCCCCCTCCCCTCCCCCTCCCCCTCCCCCCCCTCCTCCTCCTCCTCCTCCTCCTCCTCCTCCTCCTCCTCCTCCTCTCCTCCTCCTCCTCCTCCTCCTCCTCCTCCTCCTCTCCTCCTCCTCCTCTCCTCCTCCTCCTCCTCCTCCTCCTCCTCCTCCTCTTCGTCCTCCTCCTCCTCCTCCGTCCTCCTCCTCCTCCTCCTCCTCCTCCTCCTCCTCCTCCTCCTCCTCCTCCTCCTCCTCCCCATCGTTCCCCTCCTTCCCTCCTCCACGTAACCCTCCTGCTGCTCCGCCCCTCCTCCTCCTCCTCCTCCTCCTCCTCCTCCTCCTCCTCCTCCTCTCCTCCTCCTCCTCCTCCTCCTCCTCCTCCTCCCCCTTGCCCCTCCCCTTGCCTCTCCCCCTTTGCCTCTCCCCCTTACCCCTCCCCCTTGCCCCTTCCCCTCCGCCTACCTTCCCTCCTTGCCGGTCGGGGCGTGCGCGAAAGCCGCCATGGCGGACAGGGCGATGGCGTGGCTGGTAGAGATGGAGAGCGAACAACTGCAGCCCAATGTGCAGGTGGCAGATCATGGGGACTTCGCTCGGGTGGACGTTCTGGCGTGCCTCGACGGCTGGCTATTCTGGATCAGTGTGGCGCAGTCCCGCCAGTTTAGTGAGACAAGGTCCCCACGATCTGCCACCTAGCAATGCATTTGTGTACAACAGCTTGGTCCACGCGCATGGGCTCCAAGGCGGCACCGCTGGCGCGGTAGCGTGCCTGCAAGACATGCGGCGCGCCGCGCTGGAGCCAGACGTCGTCTCGTACAGCACCGTCGTCGGGTCATGCGCGAGGGCCATGCAGGTGAACGACGCGGTGTCCTGGCTTCAGGTGCTCTCTACCAAAGCTTCAGAAACAAGACCTGTTCCCAGCTTCATGGCCCCGGGCCACTTGGCGCTAATATCCAGCAGCCGCTTGGAGGGGAGAGGGCGCAGGAGGGAGGAGTCTGACGGGGCTAGGACGAGGATAAAGGTGTTCCAGAGCGTTCCAGAACGCTCCCAGAGCGTTCCGGAACACCCTGAGAAGGCCGCGGCGCCCGATCCATCGCTCAAACCGCCGGATCTCGGAGATTCTCGACTCATCCTCCCCCGATGTGATCCTCGCCCTGGCTTCGTCTCGAGGAGGGAGTGGGAGCGGACGCCCGACACGCCCCCGCCGTGGCCCGGCGTAGCTCGGCGACCCGGCGGCAGCCCGCCCGCGGGCGAGCGGCGGCCCCGCCGCTGCGGCAGGCAGCTCCCCCTCTGCCAGTCTCTCGGGCGTGCGCCCGTCTCCCTGGCATCGCTCGGGCGTGTGCATTCTTTGTCTCGGCGGGAAGCATCGAGGACCATCCTGGGCCATCGAGCGAAAAAAAGCACGCACGAAACCGAGACATGCACGGGAAATGGACCGTTCGGGGGCGGACAGAGCCCCCAACAGTGACACGTCGATTGGTGAGTTGTCCGTTTTCGGTTCTCGGGAGGGCCCCGCGGCCGCTATTTTCCAGGTTTGCGCCCGCCGGGTTTGGGCCTCAGGTCGTTTTCACTAAACCACGTTTTACTAAAGGGAGGTCTGTCCATCCCCGAGACGTGCGAGTGACGGCGAGTCTCCCGCGGGCCTGCCGCGGAGCGCGAGAGGGGGCTCTGTGTCGGGCAGTGGCGACGCGTCTCGGCTTGCCTCGTAGGCTTGCGGAAGTCGATGGATCAATGGAGAGGAAGCATGCTGCCAAGTTCCCAGAGGTCTAGAACATGTTTCAAACATGCTTTAACTATGCCAAAACATGGTTGACACTTTTTTCCCCCAACATGTTTTACACATTTTAAACACATTTAATTCAAGGATAGGGTTGTTAGGGTGTCCATTGCCATGGCATCCACAACATGAGGCCCACCAAATACTGTTCTGAGAACCTCTGGTGGTCTGCGCGAAATGTTCTCAGAACGCTTTTGGCAGAGAGCGGCTTGCTTGAGCACATCGGGCCTGCGTTCTGAGAGCATTTCCTTTGCTCTTGGAACCTGTCTGGGTTCTGCGGGCATTTCGTGGTAGGCCTATAAGAATGCTGGGACGGTGGGCCCCTGCTCTATTTGTGAGGAGGCCGCCCTTGACCCCTCGCCCCCCGCCGCACAAGACGGCCTCCGCGTGCACCATACGGCCCAAGAGCGCCGGGAGACGGCACAAGTCGCTCCCAGTAGCCGCCCCAGCAGGCCCCCAACGAGCCACCGAGCAGCCCCCCAAATATGTGACCCCGGGTCGAGGGTTCACAGCCCCGCCCCCGCCCAGAGGGGATGGGCCCCAGGGTTCCACAGCCCCCCCCCCCAGTTGGGATGTGGGGGGGGCGACGACGACGCCGCCGGCGTCGGCGACGAAGACGAAGACGACGCCGACACCGACGCAGACGACGGCGGCGGCGACGACGGCGACGACGACGACGCCGATGCCGAGACCGACGCCGATGCCGACGCCGACGCCGACGCCAACGAAGAAAAGCCGACACCGACGCCGACGACGGCGACGACGGCGACGACGACGACGGTGACGACGACGACGACGACGACGACGACGACGACGACGACGACGACGACGACGACGACGACGACGACGACGACGACGTAGACGCCGACACCGACGCCGACGCCGACGACGCCGACGACGGCGCCGACGCCGACGCCGACGGAAGACGACGACGACGGAAGACGCCGACGCCGACCACGAAGCCGACGACGACGACGACGACGACCACGATAAGCCACCTTACACCCACAGGGGGGGCGGGGGGGAACACCGGGACCATCCACCACGCCACGCCCACAGGGCCACGACCACAGGGGGGAGGAGCGATCCCATTCGGGAGGCCTTCGCGAGGCTCACGGGCGTACCGTACCCATCCAGCGGGGTGGGGGGATGGGCTCGTTCCCACATGCATTGGGGGCGGCGGGGGTATGCACAATCCCCAAGCGGCCCCAAGATGCCTCCAAACAGCTCCCGAGAGAGCCCAAATGCACATACTCCGTACACGTTCTGGACGTACACCCCGCGAAGCGAGAGAAATCCACGGATCGGGGCAGGTTCCCCCCGAAACACGAAACCAATGCCGCCTGATTGGGCGACGGAGGGCGCCGATTCTGCACGGAAGCGGGACCGCACAATGCACGTGAATGACCATATTGACAGCATATGGACAGCTCGATTGTTTGGGCGCTCTGGGTGACCTTTCGGAGAAGGCGTCGCCTCTTCAGGCTGGCCCGAGTTACAAAGGCTATGGCCCGCCCTCCTGCAGGCCCGCGCGGCGCAGGAGAAAGGCAAGGAGGGGAAAGGAAGGTATTGTCTGATTGCGCCTCTCCACGTCGAGATACTGGCGCAAGACCGAAGCGCAGCTGGGCCTGAACCAAAAGCCGGGCCGAAACAGCAAGTCTGTCCGTTGGCCCCCAGGTGATCGTGTTCTTATTCATTGTTTTGCCGATCGGCGCGGGCCCTCGCCCCCCGCCGCATTCCCCCACCCATGGAGTAGATCTTGGCTGTTTGGGGCGCCTGTTTCGAGCAGGCGGAGCCCGTCCCCCATGGGGCACACTGTTTGCAAACAGTCGCATTCAGCAGGGGTCCGGAGCTAGACCTCCCCCCCCTCCCCCCCCCCGTTCGGCTTAATGTCGAAATGCTGAACAAGAAAACGCCCGCCAGGAGATGGCGAGGCAGGCCCTGCTGCCCAACGCGGTGTCCCTCGGGGCGGTGGTGGGCGCCTGCGCCAGGGCGGGGCAGGCGGACGAGGCGCTGCTGTGGCTGGCCAGGATGTCCCGCGAGGGCGCCCACAGATGACACCCGTGCACCGAGCCCTGCTGGGCCGAGCCTGGGCCCAGGATCGGTGCACATAGTCAACCCGCACAGTAAGGATGGGCAACCTTCCCAAGGGTACCTCCTCCTCCTCCTCCTCCTCCTCCTCCTCCTCCCTCTCCTCCTCCCTCTCCTCCTCCTCCTCCCTTGCATCCTTGCCTCCTCGGTCCATCCTCGCCACGTTCGTTGGCCGCGCCCCGCCCGAGCAGCTCCGAAGCGTGCGTCCGAGGCCCGAACGCACCCTTGCCGCGCATCTCTGCGCTGCGGCTCGACGGCAGTGCCCTCCCGCCCCAGGCGGGAGGGCGTGCGCACCGATCCTGGGCGTCAGTCGGGCTTGTCCCTCTACAGGAGGAGTCTTCAAAAGTAGTCAAAAAGATAGGCAGGGGATGATCTTTGGAGTATCTGTTCGCACTTTTTGGCTATTTTTTGGGGTATCTTCCATTCTTCGTCCAAGATCCCCCTACAGCTGTAGGGGGACACGCCCGACCTCATCCTGGGCCAGGAGGAGGAGAGCCCGGCCAGGATCGGCGCCGGCGCACACCGTGCATACCCCGCCTGCGAGGTCTGGGCTTCAAAAGATCCAACAGGAAACAAATCGCATAAACATGAATATTTGGCGCTCTGCGCGGACTTCTCGGATCCGCGCCCGAGCCCCCCCGGCGGCGCCTCCGGCGCCGCCCCTGGCGCGCTCCGCGCGCCAGAGAGGGGGGCACAGCGCGGATCCAAGGAATCCGCGCGGAGCGCCAAAAGTGTATGTTTATGGCGCTTGTTCTTCTTCCAAGAGGCTTTGGGTTGTTTTAGGTATGCGGGCAGGTTTATTTGCACGGCGTTCCCCCTCCCCCCACCCTCGCCCCTCTCCAAACGAGTGCCAGCGTGCGCAAGTGCCCTTCGACTTGCGTAATTTTCGCACGTGCAAGCCGTTTGCGGCTTGCTTCAGATTCAGCCCCCCCCCCCCCCGTCCATTCGGGTCGGGCGAAAGGGGGGGATTGGGAAAGGGGGGGTTACGAAATTTGCTGCATGCAGCTGGTTTCGGCCTCACCGAGGGGCCCATTCCTCGATACATGGTCGCCTCCGGCGCCAGGAGGCGCCGGGAAAATCAGCTACGCGAGCTGATTCTCAAACCCCCCCTTTGCTATCCCCCCCTTTCGCCCGACCCGATCCATGCAAGTAAATTCGCTGGGGTCGAAAAGAGAACAGGCTCAAACGCGGCTCTCTTCGCTCGCCCAGGCCTTGGGTGGGGTCGGGCTGCGCTCGCGTGGCTGGCTGGCGAAGGGGGGCGCGCGCGGGGGGTGCGGGGGGGCCCTGAGTAGACGCGACCCGAGATCGTACACCTTAGGCGATGCTTAAGAAAACCTAAGTTTTCGGCCAGAGTCTCGATTATTCTTAATGTTTCAATGTGAATCCTAAGATTTGAATGGGATTTTTCGGTTTTCATTCAAGTTCTGAGACTATGAATTTCTTAACCCATGATTTCTTCAGCATTTCGTAGGGTGTACGCCGCGTCGGGGCCGTGTCGGGGGGGATGCGAGGTGCGCGCTCTGGCGGGCCCCGCTCCCACCCCTCGCGCGCCCCGCCGGCGGAGGTCCCGACGCCAGGGCAGGCTGTCCGTCCCGAGCCGCGTGCTTCGACGGCTCCGGGGCCTGGCGAGGGCCCCCGGAGGCCAGACATGGGAACAATCGTTGCCGTCGAGATTTGTGCCGCGAGGCGAGCGTGTCGGCTAGGATTCGACTCCTGGGGGAGTGACGGCAGCATCGGCGACGTCGTCCTCGTGGTCCAAGAACCGGTCTTACCAGGCCAAGTCCGGTTTCTTTCCGCTCAATCCTGTCTTTCATCTTGCTCAGTGAGGTTCAGTCCTCAACCAATGACCTGGGCTAACATGGCATAGTCGCCCCTGAATCGCGTTCAGTAGCGCTTAGTCGATAGTTGTTTGACGCCCCCAGCGCCCGGCGAGGTCCCCCTATAGGCTGAAAAAGGCAAAACAGTTCGCTTCGTCATTATTGCACGACCCGAGCACGGCTGAGCCCGTCCCCCAGGGACCCTTTGCTAGCGGCCTCCCAGATGGGGTCCGAGTAGAGGGAGTCGGAGGATCGCGCTGCATCGCCCATGCGTCGTCGGCGTCGGCGACGCGTCGGCGACGTCGCCGTGGGGAAGCACGGCCTCCACGTCGAGCCGCATCGCCGATGCATCGGCGATGCGGAGGGAGGAGGAGGGAGGAGGAGGGAGGAGGAGGGAGGAGGAGGGAGGAGGAGGGAGGAGGGAGGAGGAGGGAGGAGGAGGCGGAGGAGGAGGGGCGGAGGAGGGCGGAGGAGGGCGGAGGAGGAGGGAGAGGAGGGAGCGCGTCCCCGACCCAGCCTGCTCCGACCCCATCTAACTAGGAGGACCCCTCGCGCGGCCGCGGGGGGGGGGGCCTAACGGCCATTCGGCTCCTCCTCCCCTCCCCTCTCCCGAAGCAAGCAGCCTTCGGAGCGCCAGATCCTGCAGGAGCCTGCAGGGGCCAGGGTCAGCCACGCGCAGAGGGGGGTGGGGGGAGGGGCTTAGAAGCACCCCTGCTTCTTAGAGGGCGCGGGCCTTATCTATAGGTGTAAGGCCGGCACCTTCTAAGAAGCAGCCTCCTTCTAAGAAGCCCTCCCCCCTCCCTCCACCCCCTTGTGCGCGCCGCCAACAGGGGCGCACTGACCTGGGTTGGGGTGCAGGATCCTGCAGGATCCCGGGAGGTCCTGCAGGATCTTGACGGGCTTGACTGTCCGGGTCTGGCTTGACGGTCAGTGGTAGATCTCCGCCAAACAGCCTTCCATAGTGTTTTTGTTGTTTCGCCGAGAGCAGGTTTAGCTCTTGGCCATTCTGATCCGTAAGGGCTTCGCCCCCTGCCGCCGGCCCCCTCTCTCGGAGAATGGGCCATGGAAGAGCTAAGTCATGAGGCCTTGGCGCTGTCGTGAAGCAGTATCGAAACTTCATGCGAAGCCGAGTCGCAATCAGCAAAACCAACTGATCACAAGAGGGGTTACCACACCTGGCGATTGGTAAGACGTGTATGGTTTAAGGGCTTGGTTACCACACCTTGCGATGAAAGGGCCGAGGGAGTTCTCGCAGTTTGGGTTACCACGCCTTGCGATGGATGTGCGTGATGGGTTCGAATTTCAGAAATGTGGCAAATCCCTGTGTTTTTGGACCCTGACCCCGCGGATCTGCGTAAGGGGTGGCGCCGAATTTCAGAAATGTGGCAAATCCCTTATGTTTTTGGACCCTGACCCCGCGGATCTGCGTGAGGGGTGGCACCGAATTTCAGAAATGTGGCAAATCCCATGTGTTTTTGGACCCTGACCCCGCGGATCTGCGTGAGGGGTGGCACCGAATTTCAGAAATGTGGCAAATCCCTGTGTTTTTGGACCCTGACCCCGCGGATCTGCGTGAGGGGTGGCACCGAATTTCAGAAATGTGGCAAATCCCCTGTGTTTTTGGACCCTGACCCCGCGGATCTGCGTGAGGGGTGGCACCGAATTTCAGAAATGTGGCAAATCCCCTGTGTTTTTGGACCCTGACCCCGCGGATCTGCGTGAGGGGTGGCACCGAATTTCAGAAATGTGGCAAATCCCCTGTGTTTTTGGACCCTGACCCCGCGGATCTGCGTGAGGGGTCTGCGTGAGGGGTGTCGATTTCGAGCCCCCCCAGCAATTCAGACAACGCGCCCAGGGGAGCTAAAAATCCCGTTTGGGCCTCCCCCCCCCTCGCGCGGTCAATCAACTAGTTACAGTAACCAGCAAGAAGTCAACTAGTTACAGTAACCAGCAAGAAGCAGAACTGTAACACTGGAAACTACAAACTACAACTGGTACAGGAAACTGCGAATCACGGTCCTACAGCCTGGTGGCCCCACAAGGGGGCCGGCGGATTTTCGGCTCATAGCTCTAGACCTCCTAGGTGGGGTCCGAGCAGATGGGATCGGAGGATCACGCCACATCGCCGTTGCATCGCCGATGCGGCTCGATGTGCAGCCCGTCTTGCTCCACGTCGACGTCGCCGATGCATCGCCGATGCGGCGCGATCCTCCGACCACGTCCACTTGGACCCCATCTGGAAGGTCTGTCTTGCTGCAGCGCGAGCAGGTTTGGCGCGTGGTCCTCCTGGCTGTCGGCGAAGCGCAGGCGCACCCCCAGGAATGCCCTCGGCGAGGCGCAGGCGCGCCTCGAGAGGCTGGAGAGCCGCCGAGGGCGGCCGGGAACGCCTGACAGCCTCGAAACCCGCGCCTCGACCACGACCCGAGCATGTCTGGCTCGTCGCGTGTTCCGTCGCGACGCGAGCGTGTCTGGGCAGTTCCGGTCTCACCCGTCCACCCATACATCGATTTATGGAGGAGTGCGTGAGTCGCCCCCCAAATGGCCGACTCGCGCACTCAAACGTATCAGTATGGCGCGTGCTCGGCGGCGGACGCCGTCTGGCCATACAGCTGGGGCAATGTCAGGAAAACCACTACTCGGAGGTTGACAGACCTCCTACCCTGACCCTGACACGTCGATTAGTGAATGGGTCGTTTTCGCTTCGCGAGAGGGCGTCGCGGCCGTCCTTCTTGCGGGTCCGGGTCCATCGGTTTCGGTCCCAGGCCGTTGTCACTAAGGGGAGGTTTGCTAAAGGGAGGCTTGTGCACCGCCGAATTACCGGATTGGGAGGATATGGGGCTGGGAGAAATGAGGTCATCCTTACCCGTAGTCGGCCGAAGGTATCATTCATTGCATCTGGGTGCTATCGCTCATACCCTTCATCCTCCCAACCCCTTCCTCCCAACACGATAATGGGTGTCCTCATAATGACATGATTAATGACGCAATATAAATAGGTTGTGCCATATGGTCTGGTCGGGCGCACGCCTCCAAGGAGAATGCACACTGTCAGATGCCAGAATGAAGACTCAACGAGCTTGTCCTGCGGGTGCCCTTGCGTCCCGGGGTGGGTTTCGCGCTCGGTCCCGACGCCCACTCGGCAAGGACGGGGGTGGGTTGGGGTGTGTACGATGGATGGTGCAGGCCTGCAGCTCCTACCTCTGACCTCACTGTGCGCTGCCCTTACGGCGCACGCGGCTCTGGGGGGCATCCCGACTCATGGCGCGGGCGCTGTCCCCCAGGGGGTGGGCATATGCGGATAGGCTCTCTGGCACGATCATACCTCTCTCATTCAGCCACGCGCAGAGGGGGGTGGGGGGAGGGGGGAGGGCTTCTTAGAAGCACCCCTGCTTCTTAGAAGGTGCGGGCCTTATTTATACATGTAAGGCCGGCGCCCTCTAAGAAGCAGCCTCCTTCCAATAAGCCCCCCCCCTCCCTTAACCCCCTTGTGCGCACCGCCAGCTCATGGGGTGCCTCTGCGCCCTTGGGGTGTTGGCAGCCCGCCGCCTCCCACGCGCCAAGCCTCGGCGGCCCGGGCCCCTGCGTCCTTGCCGCCCGCCCCTGCTACAGATCTCCTGACCTTCCAGAGAGCCATTTCTTGGGAGGCCTAAAAACCAAAAAAACGGAACGAAACAGCTTAAAACCAAGACGTAGAATAGCTCTGGGGTAGGTTTTTAAGTCGCGTGCTATGTGTTAGCCCTCCTGGAAGGTCAGGGTCCCGATCGCCGTGCCAGCGCGGCCTCCTGCGGCCCACGGCTGGCGTGGAGTCGGGCACGGCCCTCTGCAGAAAGAATCTTCGGAAGTAGTAAACCCCAAGGCAGGTGACGATTTTTCGTGCTCTTCTAACAGATGCTGGTTTTGCAAATATATATTGCAAATTTTGGTGAAGGTTTTGCAAAGTCAGGTTCTGGTCGTCGAACACCAAGTCAGGTGACGGTTTTGCAAATTTTGGTTTCTCTTCCAGACTCCACCTTTAAAAGGACACGCCCGACTTTTACTGGGCCCCAGAAGCGGCAGGGCCGTTCTTTCACCGCTTCAGGAAAAATGCTTCTTGACAGTGGAAGCGGCAAAAAAAAAACGGCCAGAAACGTCAAAAGAACTGCTCCAGGTCGGGAGCCGGAGCCGGAGCCGGTAAAACAACGGCGACGGAGCCGGTAACAAAAACGGCGTCGGAATGGGCAGAAACACAGCAACACGGAACCGGTAACAAAAATTGAGACGTCCTTGTCGTTTCTTGGGCCCACGACTTTGACGTTCCAGAGAGCTATGTTTTAGCACTGGAGGCCTAAACACTTATATATATATATATATATATATATATATATATATATATATATATAGAAACAGAGCGAAACAGCCGAAAACCAAGACGTAGAGTAGCTTTGGGATAGGTTTCGAAGTCGGGTGCTTTATTTGTCAGCCCTCCTGGAAGGTCCGGGTACGACGGCCCTGCCGTCTCTTGGGCCCACGGGCCAACCCGACCCGAAGCTGGCGCCCCCCCCGCAGGATGCGCGAGGGCGGCCTCGGCCCCGGGGCGGGCGCCCTCGGGGCCGTGGCCTCGTCGCTGTGCGCCGGGGGGCGGTGGGCGGAGGCCGTGGCGCTGCTGCGGGAGGCGCGGGCCGCGGGTCGGACGGGGGGAGGCTGTTTAGAATTTTGGTGTTCCAACCCACTTCCTACAACCCTCGTCAAAAATAAACTGAGGGATTATGTTGTCGGCGATTGCATGGTCAGCGCTACTCCAATGCTGACGCTAGATATCTGACGTGGACGCAAGGGCTTCAAAAATCCGATAACCCCTCCGATAACAAGTGCCCGAGAAGATCGATCGTCGTGATTTCCAATTGCGTTTCTGTTTATTTTTGACGAGGCTTGTAGATTTGTCGAAGATTGATAGACCTCCTACCCTGACGCGTCGATTAGTGAATGGGCCGTTTCTGGTTAGCGGGAGGGCCTCGCGACCGTCAGTTTTTGCGGGTCCAGGTCCGTCGGTTTCGGTCCCAGGCCGTTTTCACTAAGGGGAGGTTCACTAAAGGGAGATTGTCCACCGCCGAATTTGATTACCAAGAAGAGTGTGGAGCATCAGGAAAGCACCCCCAAACTCGAGGGTTTTCACGTACCCGACCCTAGGAGGCACTCGTCCGACATTGGGCCGTGGGTCGGATGGGGGGAGGCTTCTAGGAATGAAATATTCAAAACGTAGTCAAAAAATAGCCTGGGGACTATGTTTTGAGTATTTTTGGACAAGTTTGGAATACGTGTTTGAAACAAAAAATCGTCGAAAATCCTCCTGTAGGGAGACATGCCCGACTTAAAGTTATGGTGTTCCAACCTACTTTAGCTTTGATCACCAAAAAGAACTTCGAGCACCAGAAAAGTACCCCCAAACTCGAGGGTTTCCACGTATCGGACCCCGGGGGACACTCGTCCGACACTGTTTCGAAACTCTCTCGATACTCTTTCGACACTTTTCCGGGTGCTCGAGATAATTTCCGGGATGTGGCCCCTAAGTGCGATAGGGAACAGCATAGTTTTAGAAGCACCCTTGCTTCTTAGAATGCATGGGCCTTATCTGGGGCGTTTTAAAAAAAAGGGCCTTCGAAGATCGAAGGAGTTGCCACCGCCTCCGCGGCGGAACGCTGCGGGAGGGCGGCGGGAGGTCGGCGGAAGTAAAACGAGGCCGCCTCCGCGGGCGGAAGCTCGGCGGAAGCTCGGCGGAAGGCGGCGGAAGTAAAAGATGCGCCCCCATAGCCCTGACCTTCCAGGAGGGCTAAAAAATAGCACGCGACTCAAAAACCGATCCCAGAGCTAGTGTATGTCGTGGTTTGGGGCTATTTCGTTTCGTTTTTTAGTTTTTTGGGGGCTCCCGTGCTAAAACATAGCTCTCTGGAAGGTCAGGGAAGAGATGGAAACGATTTTAGGTTCAGGGTCTCCGACATCGCCAATCCATAGATGCAGGGCCAGCGCCTTCTAGGGAGCTTTGGATGCCTTCTAGGGAGCTTTGGATGCGTTGGGGGTCGGCCCGCCGGGTCCGCTCCCAGCCATCACCTGGAGCCCCCCCCCCCCCCGCCGGTGTGCCCACGCGCCAGCGTAGCGTGCCTGGGCATGGCTGCGTGGATGCCTGGGCATGCCCTTGCTCTTGGTATCGCTCGGACGTGTGCATTTCTCCTCCGGCGAGGACCATCGAAGAGCATCCTTGATCATCTGGCGACAAAAGCCACGCACGAGACCGAAAAAAACACATGGAATGGACGTCCGAGCGATGGCCAGTGCTATGCCCAGGCATCCGGAGGGGCACGCCCACGCATGCAGGGAGCGCTGCGTGCGCGCACGGAGCGGAGCGGAGCGGGGCGCAGCAGATGCCCAGGCGTCGACCCGGTGGCGCCCAGGCGTCGAGCTTGCGATGCCCGGGCATCGGCAGGACGGTGCGCAGGGTAAGCGTCGAGGGCTCCGGGCACTGCAGAGCCAGGAGGCCGTGCCGAGGCTGCGGCCAGGAATTTCGGAACGGCGTGTCCCAAGCAGTGGCGAAGCGTCCCAGCTCGCCTGCAATTCGGCCTGCCGAAGAATGTTCTGAGGATGTAGGCCTGCCGAAGAATGTTCCGAGAACCTCTCGTGGTCTGCACGAGATGTTCTTAGCACATTTCTGGCTGAGACTACATTCGTTGTTTCGGTTATTAAAACATGTTTGGGTTCTAAGAATATGTCGTGGTAGGCCTACAGGAATGCTGGGGTGGTCGGTCCCTGGTCATGTGTCGCTCCGCCGTT